ACTTAAGCTAAAACATTTGCTCTATGAGGAGTTTGTTCTCCTCATGTGTGTACATAACTCCTCTTAAAGTCTTTGAATGTACCAGCAAGTGATAGTTAAAGAAATCATGCGAGAGATCAGTTTAAGTAATAAGGGTCTAACTTACAATAAAGTTCATTTACTAAAAAAATAATAATTTTGGAATGGGATTTTGTAATAGATCTAATCCTTCTGAAACAGTTAGTTAGTCTTCTGTCCATCTGACACGATATTTACCCCCACAGTTTAAGCTTGCCTGTACAGTACTAGTTTTCAGTACACTCCAGATCTTAGCCATTGGGAATATTGTACTATTCTTGAGGGCAAAATAAGTAATTTGCCAGCCTTGATCCCTAATTAAAGAACACCACTATGTTTTTAAACAAAGTTGATTATTAAATGATGGTTACACTCCTAGTGCTGAACTGAGGTGTAATTGTTTAAACTGAGTTAATAAGCAAATTTAATGAAAATCTCATTGCTAGGCAGCTTGGCAAATGAAAGCTGATACTACCCAAGGGCTCTTTGGTGGCTTATGTAAAATAAGTCAAATTGACAGATATCCACAATTTAAAACCACCATTATCGTTAAATCTGATTGGTAATCCTTTTGGAAGAGTTAGCAGAAAGGCCTATCATGGAAAGGGCATAGACACCACACTACCCGCCCAGCCCCAACTGCTCCATGTCAGGGTAATGTACATTCACAGACCAGTGAGAGCAGGGGAGCATACACTCTGCCTGTCTGTTCTGTATGGGGCCCGATCCCGCACTATGAAGTCAATGGTGAGCTTCTGTTCATTTCAGTGAGAGTATCAGACCCTCTCTGTTTCTAGGATCATCAATTCTGCATTAGTCAGGAGCACTACATTCTAAAATAAGAACGGGCAAAAATTAAAACTCCTGGTGAAACAGGAAATTTAGTCCTACCTATTGACTTTTCTTACAGAAAATAAGCTCCTGTTTTTTCCTTACCAGGTGATATTTAATAAAAAAAAGTTATATCCTTTGCTGGATAGTCTCTGTCTGAGATTAAAGTCATGGTTAAGAGCAGAATAACGTGGTCTGGTAGGAGAAGAGTGGCCAATTTGGCAAATATGATACTTATCACTAATGTATTGATCTGGCTAAGAGTGCATGTGAAGGAAACCTGAAGCTCTCACTCAGGAAAGACTTTATTTTTAGAAAAATGTTGACCACACTTTTTCAATATTACTTTTTTCTGATTCAGCGTTGTCCTCCACTAGCATTGCAAGACTGGCTACTCATTAAGAGGTTTTAATTTTGCAGCTGAAGAATATCCATACCCACAGCATAAGACATGGACACTTCTGGTGGGCAAATTGCTTTTTGTAGAATTATACAACTTCAGCTGTTTCTCTAAAGTATCCAAATGGCTTTAAAACATGGTCATATTATGTTGATAGAACTGTTGAAGTGCATTAGTGAAATATAGAGGATAGCATGTAATGAAAGAAGTCCTTTTACATTTAGCTAAGGAATAAATATGTACTATCTGCTCCAAACATAAATGCATAGCTCTTATATTTGAAACATAATTGAAGTTGGATCTTTAATCACAAGCAAAAATGTCTGCATACAATGTGCAAACAAATGTATGCTATTAGTCAAATATTACAGCTTTTTTATGATTAGTATGTTCTGATGAGTCAAAATCTTGTAAGATCCATGTTTTGCAATAATTTCAGTTCCTTCTGTCAGTAAAAGAGATTCTCTGAATAATGCATGTAATATAAAAGAAATGAATAGGATTTAAATAAGACACGAGCACAGGGGGTAAACCCATGCTGGTGCAAATCAGGTCAATTTTATTTGAACTACAATAAAATCTGTCTGCTAAAATGACCTGTTTCTCAAGAATGCTGGATTTATAAGAAAAAATGTGATGGCTCTGGGGCTATTAAAAGCCAAAACAAATACAGACCATCACAATGTATATAAAACTGAACACAGAGAAAGATCTTAATTCCAAAAGTATTCCTGGATAAACATCATGGTATATAAGAAGCAGACACTCTACTGTTTTAGTCTATTGGAAAGACAAACAAAATATTCACATGATTTGCCATGATTTGACCAACATACAAGCCATAAACCTGTAATATGTCCTGTTTATTGTCCTTAATACATGGAATGGGCCAAACACTGCAGTTTTACGAGTAACCTCTGCATTGAAATAGAAATGAAAATAAAGCTAACTGGTCACGTCTTAGATCTTTACGCTTGACCTCACATGAATATTCATTTCAGTCCAGTAGCTTTAAGCCTATTGTACTGTATCATTTTGAGGCATGTGTGCTCTAATTTAATTCTATACAATGATAAGAGCCAAAGCCAGTATTTCCACATTGGTTTAGTACAGAGGTATTATTTCATATATACACACACACACATATATATATATATATATATATATATGGATTGCCATGATATTACTTAATACAGACTTTTTTATCTTTAATTAGGTTAGAAAATCTCACACATCTGTGCTTTGGAAGCCTCTGTCAACCCAACAAATTCAATCACATGGACGCCCGTGTCCTCCAGCTATCAGACAATTGATTTTTGCAGGATTCCGCTCATATTTAGCTTAAAGGACATGCGATATGTTCATTCATTTGTCAGTCAGTTTGGCTGTACTTCACTGGGAGGGGCACTTTTAAAAATATATATATATATTCCCCACTATTCAAATATTTTAGACAAAAATAAATACAAGGAACACAATTAGACCTGTCGGCATAGAGAATTGTAAAATATGACAAATACAATTACTAATGTTTGGATAAAAATACATATTGATTTAAGTGGGAGATTTGCCTGAATAAGGCCAGCAGAGTTGGGGCTACCAAATGGATACAGACATATGTATAATTACATATACATATACTTGTTTGTTTTTTCATTTCTGTATATTGTCCATATTTAGCATCTATGAATCACTAAATTGCTTAGAATTGCAAGACTGTCTTCGCTATACATTTTGTTGTAATTTTGATCAGGGTCTGAATCACTCTTTCCATAAGTGGCAGCAAATATAAAGAAACCATTTTTTCATCAGTTAAAATAATGCAAACTAAACATAACATATGGGGAAGATGGTGGAAAGAGAGCTAAAGGAGCAACTGTGAACAGTTTAAATGAAGAGGAAGTTAGAGAATATACTTTTTGTACCTAAAATGTTGGTGTCTTATATGCAGAATTAGTTCAGTCACAGATATAAGTTTTAAATGTATGCAAATCATATATATTATTAAACCCAGTATTGTTCTACCTAATACTGTAGCAATAGTTTTGGGCTCAAAGTTTAATAACAGCCATTAAAATCATTTGAAAGGACTGAAGTGAAGGCAGATTCACAGACAACTGGTTTTAGTTATAATTTAAAGTACAAATGCTTAGAAAAACCTAAACCAAAACCAAAAACTAACCCAAAAAATATCTCAAAATCCATTGCATCAATTCTAAGTCAATAATAAATGAGCAGCACCTGCAAAAGGTCATATGCAATGCACTATTTCTCAGTGAAACACACTTGGGTGGATCTAATATCATTCTATCTACTTTTAAAAGCACTTTTTAAAACTCCTTCCTCCTTTACTTAATTTGGAGTTGATTACAATTCATACGTTGCTTAATACAGAATTCACACTCAGGGGGGCATAAATCTTTTCTGTATATATGCACTGGTGCCATTTTGCCAACATAGAAGCTTTTCGTGTTAAATGAGGTGACATGGTCATCTGAAACTTGGAGTAGCAAAGAATTATATACATACATTTAACAGGCAGCCCATATGTTCTAAAATGTGAAATGTTCTGTGCATACAATACACATATATTAAAAGTATGAAAGAGATGGATGTGAGAACCCAGATAACTAAAGAAATATTGTATGCATTTTAAAGGCACACTGAACAGGAAAACCTTCTCCAATTTGTTTCTATTTTAAATTCTCTGTAAGCAATATTGCTCAGTGCTCTTAGTTCCTGGGGCAATTCATTCTTGGGAAACCACTGAGAAAAAACATGGAATTTGAATCCTAAAATATGTATACAGAAGGAGCGGCGATTTTAGAGGTATTAAGCTCTGTACCACTAAATCATTTTGCCCTACACTGTAAAATGAATACCTCTGATGAAGTCTGACAGAAAAACAAATTCTTCCTGGCTCTCAGACATTAAGCAGCATTAAGCAGGTATTCTACCCAGTGTTGAAGGAACCAGAGGTACTGTAAATGTGGAAGTTCAGCTATACTTTATTTTTTTTTAAATATGTATCCCATTTGGCAAGAGCATCCCTTTTTAATGAGAAAGTGTGCACAGTCTGGGGGAGGGGAATAATAGTTCCAGTTGGGGTGGTTTGTGAAATCAAGTAGATCGGATACTAACTTGATCTGGCACCAATGTGTGGCTGCATGGAGACATACCCACAGGATGTATGCATTAGGAGATAATAAGAGACATTTACAACCCAGAATATAAGAGCAGGGCAGGCTCGAGTGACATCACTAGATCAACTGCAGCGTCAACCTCCTCAAATATATTATCCTGCACACCATTGCTTCACTGTCCCCTTTTAGCCATTAGAAGAGCACTTGTGATCACAAATATTATGGTGTCTTTTCAAACGCAGGCAAGACACACCATGCCTAACAGCATCAGAGACATTCATAATTCACAATTTTTCTTTACAACTGCAAAATCCATCTCCATAGAAACCAGAAAGCAAGAAACTACAGTAATAACACTAAAGTAAATGTCACATTCAGTTAGTCAGCACAAAGCAGGAGAGGGGATGTTGCTAAGGTTAGAAACTAAGGAGGATTCTCCCCCCGCCCTTTTTCTAACAGAGCAGCTGACTTGAAATAGATTATTTTATACAAGGTAATTATGTGGTCTAGTCTTAATTTCACTGTAAATTTACTCATAACTTGACCAGATCAATGGCACATTTACTTACAGGCATTTGTTACAGCAAAGCTGTTAGCTGTTTCAATGTTGTCTACGTGAGGAACCAAATTAAAAGGTGCTTCAGAGGCGTTGGGGCTGGTATTATGAAGAAAAATTGCTAATCGAAAAGCAGTATATTCCTGATCTGTGTTTCTGATGAAGAGACCACCTACAAAAACAGCAAAGGAAGCAAGAGTCAATTATTTACAAGCCAACCACTATACTATGAAACCGGCCAACTACCTCTCCCAAAGCTACTCAGTAATACTGGTCCTAGCACGTCTAGGGATACATGAACTAATCATATTCATAATCACAGCCACTACCTTAAATCACTGTCCTAAAGAGATGTTAACCTCCCAGCTGCATTCAGGCTCTATTCCTGCTTCCGCGGTTCCTAGCCTTTCATATTTAAATACCCAGATTTGTCATGATTGCAGTGACCTTTGAAACCATCTAGCCTCCATCTCCAGGATACTGAACGCGTTGCTAAATCAGCTACTCAGCATCCTCCTTCGCTGTAAGTGGCGGGCAGATTAAGGAGAGCGAAGCTTCTTCGATTAGAAACAAGGAGGCTCTATACTGAGCAGGCAGGTAATGAATGAACTTTGCTCCTCTGCAGCCCAGGTGCGGGCAGAGAGCAGCAGCAGCTCAGGCTTATTAGCAGCATCTTTCGGAGTGCACGAGAAATGATGCAGTGATGGAGCTGAGCTGGAAGGAATTCAAATAACTGCGCCCCGTCAGAAAAGAAGGGAAGGGGAAATGTGCGAGAGGGCGAGCGAGTGGGGACGGGTGGGGAGGGAGACACAGGATCGGGGGGGGGGGGCACAATCCAAAATCCTAAACTTTCGAACTATGGAAAGGGAAAGGAAAAGCCGGCAGCCTCTCGCTCCCCATGGCAAATAAATGGGAAACCGGCTTTCAAACAACTCGCCATCCCCCCAGGAAGCAGAAGAAACAGGGGTCTCAATTAAAGAGAGCGCGCGGGGGGAGGGGGGGAGAATCTTCACAACTTATTCTAATACCGCACAACCCCCTCCCCAAGGATCACGGAGTTTAAATGATTTTTTTTTCACAGAAAACCAACCCCTCTCCATACAACCTCACCACCACCACCCCGCGCACACACGCTTTCCCGAGGGGGTAGAGGGAGAAATCTTGCAGCTTCATTCAGCCCCTGGTTTCTAACTCACTTTGGAAAGGATTGGAACACTTGACACATGCACCCAGCCCAATGCAGCGCTTACCTATTTGCACACTGCTAGGGAAAGCTCCCATTGCTAGTCCCCAAAAGCCAGAAAACAAGAAGACAAGCTGTCTGCAAATAATCCTCATCTTCTCTTTTGCCTCTCTGTATCTCCTTATCTCTCTCTTTCTCTCTCTCTCTCTCGCTAGATGCTGCTCAGAGAGGCATTGAGGACGAGGTGGCTACAAACAAAATTAAGAATAAAAATGAATTCAAAGGGGAGGGGGAGAAAAGAGAAGAGTTTTTTCCCCTCCTTCCTTTTTTCTTTCTTTTTTTTTCTTTTAATTTTTTTTAATGGTTTTTTAGCAATCCATCCTGCTGAGCCGGATTTTTCCCGCAGTCTCCATAGCCCTGGGAGAGGTTTCTGTCCGGCTGCAAATGTTGCACATGCAAAAGATGGTGGAGAGTTTGGTGGTGGTGGGAGCGTCTAGTGGCTGCACTGAGAGATGAGACATGCGCTATCTCCCCCCCTCCTCCCCCCCATAAACACAAGCAGAGAGAGAGAGAGAAACGCGCGCGCACACACACACACACGGCTTCCTCGGTCTCTCTCCAGTGCACCCCACTCTCGAAACGCCTTTCGAGCCACAGATAAATAAAGCAACCACAGCAGCGGAGGCTCCAGAGGACAGCAAGGGGGATGCGCCTTCTCTCTCCCACCAGCATATACACACCCGGCTAGAGCAGCAGCAGCAGCAATGAAGTTTGTCCCCAGGAGAACAGAGCCCTTCTTTTGCAGCCAAGTCCTGCTCTCAGGCACAGCCCTAGCAGCAAACGTGGGACTTTAGATACTGCAGCAGAAGAAAAAAAAATCCACTGAGCAAATTCTGCTGGAGAGGGAAGTAACTGGAGAGGGGGCGAAAGGAGACGGGATGAGAGATGAGGGGGAGAGAAGGCTTAGGGGGTAACCAAGGTCACTGCTGCTTTATTGCTATCAGTAGCCCTTTCCTACACTTTCCTGACCTGTGGACTATAGAGAGTTTAGGGGGCAACTTACTCTGAGGGAGAGAGAAAGAGAAGGATGCTGATCTCATTAATAATCATTGATATTTAATGAATGCAAGATCATAGAATCATAGAAATGTAGGTCCGGAAGAGACCTGGAGAGGTCATTTAGTCCAGTCCCCTGTGCTCTGGCAGGACCAAGTAAACCTAGATCATCCCTGACAGGTGTATGTCCAACCTGTTCTTAAAAACCTCCAATAATGGGGATTCCACAACCTCCCTTGGAAGCCTGTTCCTGACCTTAATTACCCTTATACTTACAATGTTTTTCCTAATATCTAACCTAATATCCTAATATCTTCCTTGCTGCAAAATAACCTATTACTTCGTCCTATGTTCAGTGGACATGGAAACAATTGATCACATCCTTTTTATAACAGCTGTTAACATATTTGAAGAAAGTGATCAGATCACTCTTCAATCTTCTTTTCTTAAGACTAAACATGTCCCGTTTATTTTTTTTTAACCTTTCTTCAGAGGTCAGGTTTTTTAAACCTTTAACCATTTTTGCTGCTTTCCTTTAGACTTTTTCCTATTTGTTTACATCTGTCCTAAAGTGTGTCACCCTGAATTGGACACAGTATTCCACCTGAGGTCTCACCAGTGCCATGGACAATTACCTTCCGTGTCTGACATATGACAATTCTGTTAATACAACCCATACGAATATAAGAATGGCCGTACTGGGTCAGACCAAAGGTCCATCTAGCCCAGTATCCTGTCTACCGACAGTGGCCAATGTCAGGTGCCCCAGAGGGAGTGAACCTAACAGGTAATGATCAAGTGATCTCTCTCCTGCCATCCGTCTCCACCCTCTGACAAACAGAGGCTAGGGACACCATTCCTTACCCATCG